TCAAGATTTGGTGGTAAGTGCTGTATATCAACTGTCTTCTCTCTAGTCTCTATTCGATTAAAGAAGGTCAAGATTTGGTGGTAAGTGCTGTTGATTAACTGTCTTCTCTCTAGTCTCTATTCGATTAAAGAAGGCCAAGATTTAATGGTAGGTGCTGTTGATCAACTGTCTTCTCTCTAGTCTCTATTCGATTAAAGAAGGTCAAGATTTGGTGGTAAGTGCTGTTGATTAACTGTCTTCTCTCTAGTCTCTATTCGATTAAAGAAGGCCAAGACTTGATAGTAGGTGCTGTTGATTAGCTGTCTTCTCTATCTAGTCTATTCGATTAAAGAAGGCCAAGATTTGGTTGTAGGTGCTGTTGATTAGCTGTCTTCTCTCTAGTCTCTATTCGATTAAAGAAAGCCAAGACTTGATAGTAGGTGCTGTTGATTAACTGTCTTCTCTTTAATCTCTATTCGATTAAATGTGACTGTCAATTCATCTATTCGTTGGTAAAAGGGTAGCCCAATAGTTGGCGGTGAGTGGTAATGGCAATCTGCCTTCTCTCTAGCCTTTCACTGTTAAATTAGGGACGGCTAGCGCAGATAGCCTTCGTGTATCTTTGAGCGAAATTCAAAACAAACCAAATTCTCTAGTTTATCAGTTACAAAATAGGAACGACTGCTTTGCGCAAACATTCTAAATCAAACAAACGTCCAGTAAGTTTCTTAATTATTGTTAATGCCCAACATATACAGAGAGTGGTAATGAATATTTGAAAACACAACTGAAGACAAAAAAATTAAAATTAAAAAAATGTGTACTGTTTTCTGTTTGAATTAATTTACATTTTGTCTTCCTCCCGAACTTGATGTTTTAGCACAGAGCTACACAATGGGATATCTATGATCTGTCTGCAGCAGTGAATCGAACCCAGATTATAGGGTTCTAACTTCCTATCCTGATTCGTTAAACTTACTTACAGCCACAGTGCTAAAGTGAGTTGTAACGAACATCCAATAAGATGAAAATTTAAAATTTGGCTCTATAACAAAATTAATTTCAACATATAGCTTTATTTCACAGTGCTAAAGTGAGTTGTAACGAACATCAAATAAGAGGAAAATTTAAAATTTGGCTCTATAACAAAATTAATTTCAACATATAGCTTTATTTCACAGTGCTAAAGTGAGTTGTAACGAACATCCAATAAGAGGAAAATTTAAAATTTGGCTCTATAACAAAATTAATTTCAACATATAGCTTTATTTCTATTGAAGGTTTTCGATAGGCCTTGCCCCTGGTGTTGTTTTCTCACTGCGGTTTTTTAGTTTCAATCATTTTGTGCTTTCCTTTCGATTTCTAAAAACGTGCAAAAGACAACAACATAGATCAACACTTGAATTTATTTTTTTAAATGATTTAAATATTTTGAGTGCTTGACGTTGTAAAATGCAAACGTGTGTATTTTCTTATAGCAAAGCCACATCGGATTTTCTGCTATGTCCACCGAGAGGAAGAAAATCCCCTGATTTTTAGCATTGTAAATCAGAAGACTTACCGCTTTCCCACTGGGGAAGAAATGCTAACGAAAAGAAAAATAATTTAGATAAGGTGGGTTAACGTTAAGTTAAAACACAGCGATAGATAAAGGTTTGGTATGATTTCTTTGGAATATTCGTGCCAAGTCACATTAGCACTATCTGCGCTAGTTATCCCTAATGTTGTTTTTTTTTTAAGAAACAATATACATACACAATAAAGAACACGAAAAACATCAAAATAGAAACATAAAAGGCAAAGGTCCATCAATAATTCTATTTATAGGGTTTTTTAGTTCTTTTTAACTCACCATATAGTAATAAAAATTAATCTAAGTATGTGAATAATATTATGGCATTGCGAAAAATTTATTATTCGATATTATACAGCGGACTGACTTTTTAACGATTATATTGCAAATTTATTTTGTTTTCGCTTCAAATATTCTATTTTTAACTTTGGAGAAAGATGGTTAAGATAATTATTAGCCCAAGAAAAATACGGGGATAAAAAACAATCAAAAATCAGCTTATTTTGCACAGAAAGACTAAATTCCGTGCAAACATACACCCTAGTAGTTCCTAATTTAGCAGTGATAGATCGCACCTCTCATAGCAAACTCTTGGACTACTCTATTGCCAACAAATAGTGCGATTAACCATCACACTGTAATGCCCCAACGGCTGTTCGTTGACGGGACTTCGAACTCGAGACTCGCAGTTTGCGAATCGAGAGCTCTAACCACCAGGCCTGAGAGACTATAGAGAAGACAGCTAATCAACAGCACCTACTATCAAGTCTTGGCCTCCTTTAATCGAATAGAGACTAGAGAGAAGACAGTTAATCAACAGCACTTACCACCAAATCTTGACCTTCTTTAATCGAATAGAGACTAGAGAGAAGACAGTTAATCAACAGCACCTACCACCAAATCTTGGCCTTCACCAGTTGTCACAAAAATACACCTCACTCACTGTTGCATCAAAACAAGGGTAACCCAAAAAGTTATCGACGACTTCTGTTGACTAGTTGCCCTCCCTCTAGTTTAGGCGGACACTCTACTCGTAATCTGAGGATCGCAGATTCGAGTCCCCGTTCCACCAAACAGGCTCGCCCTTTCAGCTGTGAGGGCGTTAAAATTCATCAGATCTCTGTGATTTTACATCAGAGTCGAGAATTGAAAACAAAGTAAAACAGTATCTACAAGTTCTGTATTGTCCGTACTATACACGTAAGTTTATTTCTATAACAAAGTTTCTCATCTAGAGTTGATTAGAAAGCTCTATTGAGAGAACGATATAGAATAATAGTGAATGTCCATCTGTATACAGGTTGTAAAATGAGAGCTGAAACTGCTCAGCTATTGATATTTTTGCTTCTTTGTTTCCTGCGATAATCCATAGAATCGTAACGCGAAGAAAAGTTGATGATAGTTTCAGCTATACAGCCAAAAAATCTGTAACGTTCTTTCTTAACGAAACAACATATATTTAGAGCTATGAAAAACAAAAATACACCAATCAAGTTTCCTCAACTATGAAAAATAAAATACACCAATCAAGTTTCCTCAACTATGAAAAACAAAATACGCCAATCAAAATTCCTCACTTGGTTACAATAGTAAGAGCTAAGAATGCTCGTCAATTCACCTCTCGCGAATCGTGATTACGTAAATAATTAGAATTCGATTTATTACAAAGTTAAAAACAAAAACCAATAGAACTGGAAGCGTTTCAGATTCTAACTCTTAACACAGGGATATAAACTATTTATTCTGACTCTGAAAACTTAGAGACGCTAATTAGTCATTATGCACTAATATCACCAAGCAAACTAAATAAAGTTGCATTAGTTTTCACTTTAATACTTACTTTTTACAGCGCTCGATGTGTTAATAGTAATTTTTCTGCAGGTGTGATAAATTGTTTACGTCTGAAAAATGTTCAGTTTATGCTGATATGATAACATTTACCACGGCCTTAGACAATTTATCAATTTGAACTTTTTAAATTGAAAACCTGTGAAATATTCTCTGTTGTTACTTTGCTTTATCTATGTAGTGTTAAGAATCGTTACTTCAAACCTTGTTTTACATTGACAAGAATAGGGACGTTCATGTGCATAAAAAAAATTTGCGTCTCATCGGTTTGTTAATTTCAGTGCAAACCTACAATTTATCGAACATTTTAACACTGTAAGTCCGTAAAATTACCGGGGAACCACTTAGTCAGGACATAAATCCTTGTTACGGTAATGTTACGCCATAAGACTGAATGTGCCATTTGAAACCCAAA